CTCTCCTCTCCATAGCTGGCTCTCCTCTCTGCTCTGCTATTTCACTGGCTTGCCTCTTTCTCTTCTCTGCTGGCCTCTGAGCTTCCCTCAATTGGTTCTCCTCTCCACCCCACATCTGATTCTCCTCTCAGCTCTGCAGCTGGCCCCAGTCTCTCATTGCCTCGCCTCTTAGTTCTCTGCCAGTTCATTCTGCTGCCCACAGTCAGTTTGCTTCTCCACTCACCTCATTCATTTCTATGGGCCTCTGGTCACTTAGGTAGGCCTCTTGGGTGCAGCTGGGCCTCTCAGCAGGCAAGGTTCACTGTAGGCCACTGCCCTTGTTGGTGTTTTCCTCCTGATTTCTCCAATCTTTCCTCTCCTTTTCCCTTCTCCAGTCTTTTTTTTTCTTTTTCTATGACTTATCTTTCTTTCTCCACCTCTCCTCCTACTGTTTTGTCTTAGTTTAATAGCAACTTTTCTCTCCACAATATAACCATACTTCCTCTGTTGCTGCCATCTTGAAGCATATCAGGTAGATATTAGATTTTTTTCAGAATCTTCTGAATTTGACTGGGTGCTTCCACCTAGCAGAGGATGGATACCAACTATGCTTGTAAAATATATATACTTACTTGAATTAGAACAAAGTGACTCTTTTTCCAAAAGAAATAGAATACTTTCTTTAGAAACATACTGTATACACAATTTGCATATTTTAAAGCAAAATACATAGATTAAATGAATTGTCCTATAAAGGTAGTCCTCAACCTATGATCATAACTGAGCCCCAGATTTCTGTTGCTAAGCAAGACATTTGTTAAGTGAATTTTGCCTCATTTTAGGATATTTCTTGCCACAGTTGTCAAATGAATCATTGCAGTTGTTAAGTTAGTTACATGATTAAGTGAATCTGGCTTCCCCAATTGACTTTGTTTGTCAGATGTCACAAAAAGGTGATCACATGACCCCTGGGACACTGAAGCCATCATAAATATGAGTCAGTCGCCAAGCATCTGAATTTTGATCATGTGACCATAGGAATGCTACAACAGTCGTAAGTGAGAAAAACAGTCATAAGTCAGTTTTTACAGTGCTTTTGTAACTACGAATGATCACTAAATAAACTGTCGCAAGTTGAGGACACTACTTGTCGTGAGTAACTCAGATGTAAGCATGATGAATAATTTTTGAATACTAGGAGATCTTATTTAAAAGGAAAATTTTACTAGGTTAATATAAAATATTACTAAGATTAAATTATAGTTTTAACAGTAGTAAACAATAAAAATACCTTGGGAGAATTTTATAGTAGTTATTGATATTTCAAACCACAGGTACATTTTACATATACAGAAGAGAGAAAGAATGCTCAATGCAATTCACTGTAATACAATATGCATCTTAACGCCTTATTGAAAAAACATTCATATGTCAAAAGAAAACAGAGGAAAAAATAATAAAGCTTATAACAGAAGACAGAATGCTGAGCACAATAGTTGCAGTGCACCTATTTGTCCAATTGTGAAGAAGAATCTGTAATTGTTGCCTCAGCAACAGTTTAGTATTTTATAAAAATTATTTTGCTTTCATATTTTCTTCAGAAACAGGATGAAATTATTGTTACTGTGGCTAATAAAAGGACAGCATAATAAATCCCACTGATCCACTTCATGGACTTTTCTTCAATTTATGTAGAACTTAGCAAGAGAACTTTTACTGTTTTCCTTTCACCTCTTTTACTCAACTTGTAACTAAAACTGACAGCAGTGTGTATCTAAGAGAAATTATTCAAACATACTAGGAGTTTTAATTTTGTTTCCCAAAATGCATTTTCAGTTCCTATTACAAGCTTCTTCTTAAGTAAATGAGATGGGGAAAACCCAATGTAAGTACTTTCAAGACAGCCCTAACAATGATAGAGCCACAAATTGAAGTTGAAATATTCCTTCCTGTATTTGCAGAAAAGATAGAAATATTTTATTTTCTAAATTTATACAAAGTTGGACAAAACTTAGAATGGACTGTTTCCTCTGGCTAAGTTAATTAAATAATGTTAATCACTTAATTTAGAATTGGAAAATGTTGATGCTATACCTATCCGGCCCAAATATAACCCTTTGAAAATGTACTTGTAATGTATTCAGTTATGAGACAATCAGGTTTTTTTTTCTCACCATTTCCCTTGTATTCATTTCATGGATGAAAGAACACATAATAAATGATAAAATATTTCTTTAAGAGGAACACATCATGCAATTTTGGGGGGCAACAGAAGAGGAATTGCTTTTTTAGAAGTTTTTTTTTTAATTGTCTGCAATTTCCTTGTGATTTCCTAATTCCAAGTACAAAGCCTTATCTTCTTAGCTTCAGAACCAAACAAGGTTGATTAGGTGGTACTACCTGCGGAAATAATAATGAGAATTTCCATTCAAAATGAAAAATTCTATTATAATCTCTTTTTTGGCTACACATGATTAATAGATGATTCTTATTTGTGAAAAATATTAATCAGGTTCCATATCCTCTTGCAAGACATAATGCATTCAATTTACCATTGAGAAGGGAAACTTTGGTATCAGAAGGAGTGTTTTGTTATCTTTACATTTTGGCCCACCTATTTGTACCAGTTCTTTGTCTTTCTCTCTTAGAGGAAGAATTTGCTTTGAGCAAGAGCCATTTTGTCCATCTGAAGCTGAATTAAATTCTAGGGATTAATCAAAATGCCAAATCCATGACTATTTTTGTATAAAGCAAAATGTGCATGTGTGTGTGTGTGTGTGTGTTTGGTAGATTGTAGGTTGGTATATAGATGCCATTTCTTTATTTATTGTGTATAGTTAAAACATGGAAATCAAAGAAAGGAACTTGAAACAATGAATAGAATAGAATAGAATAGAATAGAATTAGAATAGAATAGAATAGAATAGAAAACCCTTCTATACTAAGCAGAGAGACCATTGTAAAAATATTTAGGATGGTATAAGAATATTCCATCAAAGTTTCTTAGAACTGTTTTTGTATATGTAAACTAAGCACTTTTACATCACATCCTCCATACTTTTTACTGGATCCAATTAAAGTAGAGAGTGAGTTGATAGTCCATAATTGGCCAGATCAGAAGGTAGAATGTGATCTAATACAGATATCTACAATTCACAATCAAATTTTAGAAGGGTAACTGAATGGGAAATGTAGAATGTAGCCTGAATAATTTCAGATGAAGTTATATTTATATAGATGGTGATCTGCATTATAGCAAGTCTGATATCTTTGCTTGAAACAATTTGTTGTAGGAATATAGTTGTAGCTTTTATAGTTGGTAAATTATACTTGCAGATCTAATTATTGACATTGGAAACATGTTCTGTTTCAGTAGCCATTAATACAAATTACTGCTGTTTCAAAATAAAGGCTTGATATTTATAATGATTTGCCTTAACAGCCCTCAGTAATTAAAATGAAACTCCATGGGGTGGACCAGTTTTCCTATGGCAAGGAAATGAGTGTATTGCATGTATAGAGATGATAGAGAAAAATTCCATTATATTCTCAAAACCTTTAATGTTCTTTATTTCAAAATTGTTAGTTTTTACAGAGATACCCAACACTGTAATTACAACTTTCAAGATTTGACATTTTTAGCCTTTTTTTTTAAAAAAAAAAGATTTCTATGTTCATAGGTAGCTGATGTAAGCGATCATGATACTGAATGAGTTTATCTTTGAAAACTTACTTGAAGCTTCATTTAGTACAGAATGCAATTACTGGATACTTATCAGTAGTTATTGTTGGGAGCATATTATATCTGTTCTCTGAGCAGTGCATTAACTGTCTGTTAGCTTCTAAGTAAAATTTAAGGTTCTAATGTTAATGCTTTATGGCTTAGTGCCAAGCTATCTAGAGAGCTGCATCTCCCACTGGCCCACCTGTTTCAATCATGTTAGGAGAAACGACAGACAGTTCTCCACTTTCAAGAGGTCATGGAGAGTTAACATTCAGAAGTAATATTTTTCAGTGGCAGTTGTGACCCTTTGGAATGGCCTCTTGCATGAGGAGGTAGATATGCCACCTTCTGGAATACATTAGAAACTGGGCTCTTTTAGAGAGCTTTTAAATCATGATACCTCTTTGATAGTATGTGTTTTACGGTTATTTATAAACATATTTTTAATTTGGTTTATGTGGGCAATTGAGAATCTGTTAGATTGTAATAGGATAATAAGAAAGAAAGAGAATTTTGAGGAAACATACCACCTAACATCATGAAATAGCTCCTTTTCATACTAGCATCCCAAATCAGATTCAAGTTGCCAAGTCATGAAGTTTGTTCAGCGATAATACAATTCATAGTTCATCCCTTTATGTAGGAAAAGGGATGACAAATCCTGGAGTGGAGTGAAAGGGGGAAACAGCCTAGAATCCCTACATACCCATAAAAAAACTAAGTCCAATTCCTCTTGAGTGTTGTTGACCCTTATCTAACTCTAAGCAGGTGCATAGGCTTTTAGCAATAAATCAGTTTAATTGAACCTTCACATGTAGATCTGGTCTTTCGCACCTGACACTTTACCCATTTTCTGGATGCCTGTGTCCATGCCCATTATTGAAATCTGCATTTGTGAGCTATTATTGAAAATCCCTGGAAGTTGCCTTTCTTTCTTTCTTTCTTTCTTTCTTTCTTTCTTTCTTTCTTTCTTTCTTTCTTTCTTTCTTTCTTTCTTTCTTTCTTTCTTTCTTTCTTTCTCTTTCTTTCTTTCTTTCTTTCTTTCTTTCTTTCTCTTAAAGTATTGCTTTCATATGTTAAGCAAATATACTATTTGTTTTGCAAGTATTGTAAACTCTATCCAGAGCATATATTTTTGGCAATTATTCTAATCTAAACAGACTATGCTGTATTAATCAGAACCTTGAAATTCAAAATATCATCAAGTAAAGACTATAAGGAAATTGACTTTAGCTCTTGTAATATATTTGAATATGTAAGTTGATTGTTTTTAATATTACTTTTTGTATACTTTTAGGGATCCAAACCAGCCTGTTCCTCAAGATACAAAATTCATCCATACAAAGCCTAATCGCTTTGAAGAAGTTGCCTGGTCTAAATACAACCCAAAAGACCAACTTTATTTGCACATTGGTTTGAAACCCAGAGTTCGAGATCACTACCGAGCAACAAAAGTTGCTTTCTGGTTAGAACTTGTACCACACTTGCACAATTTGAATGAAATATTTCAGTATGTTTCCACTACAACTAAGGTGCCACCGCCTGATATGACATCGTTCCCTTATGTTACCCGACGTTCTCCTGGAAAGTTTACCACCAAACGCCCATTAATGACATCAAGCAACAATCCAAAGCATTCAAAAGACACCCAGAAAACCTCTCCAGAGGATACAAGTGTCCTGATAGAAAACAAGAGAGATTATTCTACAGAACTAAGTGTTACTATTGCAGTAGGAGCATCATTATTATTCCTCAACATTTTGGCATTTGCAGCCTTGTACTATAAGAAAGACAAGCGACGTCATGAGACACACAGACGCCCCAGTCCCCAAAGGAACACAACCAATGATATTGCCCATATACAGAATGAAGAAATTATGTCACTGCAGATGAAACAGCTTGAGCATGATCATGACTGTGAGTCACTACAAGCTCATGATACCCTGAGACTCACCTGTCCACCTGATTACACCCTGACTCTTAGAAGATCTCCAGATGATATTCCACTCATGACACCCAACACCATAACCATGATTCCAAATACATTAACAGGAATGCAACCTTTGCATACTTTCAACACTTTCAGTGGAGGACAGAACAGTACTAATTTGCCTCATGGACATTCCACCACTAGAGTATAGCTCTGTCATTCACCCAGAAGATTAACCATAAGAAAAAGGGGAAAAATTCATATTCTCCATCAAGCAATTTGTGAAAATGAAAAGTTAAAAGGTGAAAGAGCAGAACTGTCATAATTTTCTTCAGATCCTTTCCAAAGGAACACTTATATCAAGAAAGATCACCCTCCTAAACCCTGTGAAATGTGAAATGTGTACATTGCTATTAGAATTCCGCTTTAATATCTCAACCACTTTGATTGAAAATAAGAGTTGAGGCCTGAAGAAAGTCTCCTAGAAAAGGATATATATTGAGTGTAACAAACCGAAACAGAACTTTTCAAACACAGAGCCAGTGACTGTATAGGTTTCTTCTTCTTCTTTTCTTTGAATAAATAAAATTTAAAAAAAGATGTTCTATATGTGCCATATCATGAATGGCCCTTGTTATACAAAAATATCATCATGGGCTTTTACCCATCCTAAGAAGCTGTAATCCAGAATGGGGAAATAAGATTTTATTATTATTAAAAAATAGGACTGACTATGCAGTAAATATGTATAGTTCTGTGCAAGAGAAGACTTGCCAGCCTGAACTATATTTAAGGAACTTTGTAAAACAAAAAATGTACATAGCTGTGAGTTTTAAAAAAGAAGCTTTTATTGATGTTTTCAGTTTGAAAAAAGCTTTTAGAAAAATTGTGCTTTCAGTTGTGATGTCTGTGTATAAGCATTAATCATACCATCTATGTTTCCTCCCAGACCTAAATGAGGGTGTTCTTAATTACTACTGATGATCCAAACAGGAAAGATTTTTCCTAATGTTTCATTTCTGGGAAAACATGTTGTATCATACAAAGCACACAGATGACTGTGTGGCCTACTAGATTTTCCTTTACAGGTCAAATAGATGTATGTTAAGGCATCTGAAGATAGGAAGCAGGATTTTATTTTTCCTCCCTTAAAAGAAAAAAGGTTCTCCCCCCCCCCCATCCTACCATTTTCTTTCCTCTCTGTGTTAGCCTCTATTATATTGCAACACAGGGACAAATTGGAAGAATTTCAACAAGCTTGTTCAGTTGATCTAGGAATCCTGTTCTTGGTATCCTATGTGCCATGAACCTTTGCTTCTTTCAGACAGCCTACTTTCTAAAGCAATTTTTTAAAAAAAGATTCTGCCTGCCCTAGCAGATGGCAGAAAAGGTTATGCAAAGAAGGGAAATTGATATAGCTACTGTATGTTGAACAGGGAGACTACACAAGTTAGACAAAGGGCGATATTATTTTCCCATTCATTAAGAAGGGAGTTCTTGCTGGATCAGTAGCTAAAACGTTTGACTCATTTTAATCAAGCTTAAGTTTGATATCAAGGAAAACAAGTGTATATGGGTGAGTTGCCTTAAAGAAGTTGAATCATTTAATAATTCATCATTATTAATTCTATAAGAAAATATTATTCACATCATCTACAAACACAGGGAAGTGTGATGTGAAATGCAGCTGTTCCAACAATATGTCAACATCTCTGTATAGAGTTGAAAAACAATTCTAAAGAAAATCAACAAAATAAATCAGACATTATAAAAATAGAAATTGTTATTAATGAGTAACAAATGGTTTATAAAGGTGGAAACCAAAGATATTTGAACAGAGTTGTTCTGCACAAGATCACATCTTTCCTGGGGTGTACATTCTATTTTGTTCTCTTTTATTGTGGAAGGCACAATACTGCTATGCTATCATCTTTGTAATAATAAATATATGGTATATGTGATATGTTGTCACATAATGTAACACAGGATGCCTTCTGCTTTAAAATAGATAGTTTGAGCTATTCTAACTTATAGTTATCTTGATGTTTTGCTGGGTATGGAGTATAGAATATATGTACAGCTTCATGCTGTTTCTGAGAGAGAAAACAACTTCCTAGAGTAGAAAACAACAGCTGGAGACCTAATAAAATTGTTAACATAATCCTCCATCTTAGAAAATGAAATTAGTACATACTTTCCTTTTCCTTCCAGGTAAAATTTTAACAGTTCCAATTTTTACCCAATAGTCAAAGGAACTCAATTATTTTAATGTAATTCTAATGTATTTATTTTGTTAGTTTTATATTTCACTTTTCCTCTAGGAGCTCGTGGCATACATAACATTGCCTCCTCCAGTTTTTCCCCATGAAAACAACCCTGTGAAATTGATTGGTCTTAAAAGTAGGTATTGGCATAAAGTTACCTAGTGAGCTTTCCTAGCTAAAGGTGGACTATAAGTTGGGCCTTCTCAATCCTTGCCCAGTATCTTAACCACTTTGTAACACTGGCTATCTAAAGCTGGATCTTTGCCATCATGACTAAAACATAACATTTTCTTCATGACTCAGTGGGGAATAATAAGGAAAATGAGGGCATCTTATTCAGATGAATATGTTTGTTATGTGAATTATGGTATTTGTTTAGTACTTCCAGTTGTTTTCTGCTAGCAATATGTACAATACTGCGTCAGGCTTGTGACATTTGGGTAAAACCATTTCTGTGAGTGAATGATTTTAGCTTTTAAAAATCAATGAAGATGTTGTCACTTTAATAATTTAATACATTAGGACAGATGTATGATTTATAAATGGAAATTTTTAGTCTCTTCAAAGAATTGTATAATAACAACAAAGGATACTTTAAAGAAAAGAAAAAAAAATCCCAGACTTTTCTTCTTGACCTTAAGAGGCATGCAGGGTTTCTTTTGTTATTATTTCTTCATTTTTTTGGTTTTTGGTTTTTGGCTTAAGTAAGGACAGAAATATATATGGCTGGACACATATGTATAAACTTTTCAGCAGCATTTTTAATAATAAAATATCACAGTATTTTCTAATGCTTTGTGCAAAGAATTACGTGTTTATCATTTTTTTAAAGCCATAATTTTGAAAATCTCTGTGTGAGCGTGCACATGTATGTGAGCATATGCATGCGATATGTAGTCCATAATGAGCCTTGTCAATACTTTAAAGGGTTGAAATGATAAAGATAAATACTAAAGCCAAAGATATAGATAAATAATGTAATCTACTGTATCTTGCTAAGAGTTTGCAGAAAACTTTATGGAATGCCAGTTACTGACATTCAAACCACTGAACACAACAAATACTATCTATAATTACTCATGAATTTTATTATTTTCCTTAGTTACAGTCTGTAATGTGAAAAGGGATATTAAATATTTGTTAACCAGAATGTTAGCCCTCACCAGGTTAAGGTAGCAATGACCTTACAATTAAGCATAATTATTAATTCAAATGAAAACTTCTTGAATCTCTTGAACCAATAACTTTCTTAGTCTTGTTTCTGATATTTAATTGCCAGGATATAATATGCAACTTTATATAAATATATGAAAACCATATACCAGCTGGTTTCTTTCTACTCCATTATCAGTTCCATGATTTCAACACTCTTCACCAATCCTACCGAAAAACCTCAAAGATCACATGTAAAGAATGTGTTCTAGTGTAGAGGTATAATAAGATCCTATAGAAGAACTATCCTGTCTTTCTAAAAGCCATGAGACTTCATATAACAAACTAATTTCAGACAGAGTTCCATAGTTCATAAATTGATCATTTGCTGCATATATAACTATGTCTACAAAATTGGATATTCAATAAGTACTATAATGTATGGAAAAATGATACTAAATATTATTTCTTAGAAAAGCATATAGGAAATATAAAATATGGCTGAAACTTTCTTTCCTTTTGAGAGCACAACTGGACCTAAATGAAGCAATCAGAAAACTATTTCATTGAATTATGAATTATTAATTTAATAATGATTAACTGTAAAAACTTATTTTGGAAATTCTGATTTTTTTCTATGGATTGTGTGTGTGTGTGTGTGTGTGTTTGCTGTGTATGTCTGTAATCTTCAGAGGTAAATCTCTGGGTCAGAGGTACACATATTACATACTGTATTTTGTTCCTGTGCAACTCACAACATAGTATGTGTGAATGTGTGGCTTGTCCGCATGTTTAGGAAAGTACTTTCATTCTCAATATTCATTTTCAGGCTGATTAATTAACAAGTTATGAGGCATTTTTTTAAAAAAAATACACATCTAATCAAATGTACGAGTAGTGATAATTTTACACCAATTTATTTCTTACCCAAATTTTACAGTGGGGCACACTATAAAAACAACCCAAAATTTCATTTACTGGATGTGTATTTGCTGAGATAAACCTTTGAATTGTCCTTTACAGAAAATCAAACATATGTATGTATGTATGTATGTATGTATGTATGTATATATACAAGTTATAAAGCTAAAAATTCGACTCTTGGGTAAATCCATGATAAAACCAATAAATATCGATCACCAAGAGGAAAGTAACAAATAGTAAAAAATTTAATGAGCCAAGCTTTCGTTGGGCCCACCCAACATCATCAGGGCTTTAAAAGTAGTCACTGGGAAAGAGCTTTTATAAGATGTTAACAGCCTGCATCCGGCTTCTGGAACGTGTCACCGGACCCAGCTGCTCGTGTTGTATCCTAGATGCATTACTTACATCAACGCATGATGTTTTTCCATACCTCCTCCGTATTTTACCGTAAGTGTTCTCCTCGTTAACTTCAGGGGTGGAGTGAATTCTGTGTGTGGCACTATGCTCTGGGGGGGCGCAGTTCTTCTTTGATCTCACTGTTAAATTCCTCCGTCCCTTACAAACGTGATCCAAGTGTGCCGTCTCCTCCTTGCCCCCATCCCCAGACGCCACTCCCATCTGATAAGGGGAGCAACTCCCAAGATCTCTGCTCATACCTTTGTCTCCTCTCACAGATACCATAATGATCCCTTCCTCCCCCCGACCACGGGAGCCATCCTCATTCATAGACTGGGAATCCCTTTCCCTCTTCTGACGGGCTCGGGTCATCACAGTGTGTTTACCCAATTTACTACCCGAGGCGATTTTTAAGGAGGTCTGTGGAAGTTGCTGTCGGCCCCTCACGGGGCCAGGGGATATAGCTGATGGGGGGGTATCCAAGCCCATGCCAATCCGGTCGTGTAATAAAGTGGTAGCCACGTTTCTCTCTCGATCTGGGTACAGTCCATGCATCAACCCTCTCCGGCGACTGGGGAGGCCGGTTTGTGTGCCAAGTTCTTAACGTTTGTTGTGCCAGGCACATATCTACATGCCGGTTGATGGAGTCCTTCCCAGAGAACCATGCCTCTTTCAATAGTCGGCCCCCTTTGGTGGTATCACTCGCTAAGACCTGAGCTTGGTCAAAATTAAAACGGTGGCCATTCTCAGCCATATGAGACCAGATCTGTGAATGTTGCTCACCCCTCTTAACTGCCAACTCGTGTTCGTGCAGGCGAGTCTTCAACCTCTTAGATGTTTCGCCCACGTAATTAAGTGGGCAGTCCATGCACCTGATTTTATATACCACCGCTGATCTTTCTGTGGTGGGGAGTTGGTCTTTGGGGCGTATGATCCTTGATCGCAAAGTCTGGTCAGGTCTATGAGCCACCTTGATGTTGTAGGGGGCCAACAATCTAGCCGTGGCCTCGGAGACATTACTGATATATGGTAAGGTGATGCGTGTGGTCCGCCCTT